ATTAAGGATTCGAAATACAAACCTAATTTCATTTAATGTGTTTATTTAATTATTACCATAGCTCTCTAACTGAGGGATGGGAGTGCATTAGCCATCCTCATTTGTCTATCAGGTTAGAAGCAAGATGAACAACAGAGAATTCCCATATCCACCAATGGTGGTACAACAGTAGGAGAGTGATGTGGAATCTCTATGAAAGTCCAGAATGCATGTGTGTTTCCTCTCAGCAATGTCAGCTTTTTGTGGACAGCCTCTCACGATGTGCCCGGAGCGTAAACACTAAAGCTGGGACCCCGATCTCAGCACGGTGCACACAGACCCAACTGGAGGGTATGCACAAAAATCTAGGCTACAACCTAAACAGAAAACCTTTCTGTAGGGCTTACGTATGCTGGAAGTTGTTCTAAGGGCTTTATATGTAGTAATTCACTTAGTCCTCACGACAACTGCATGGAGGAGGTATGACTATCTCTGTTTTAAGAGGGAGGCACAGCCAGGTTAAACAACTTGCCCAAGGGCACACAGTCAGTAAGCCATAGCACGGGATTAGAAATCAGGCACATCACAGACTAACTACCATGTAGAGCAGCTAAAAAGGAATGAACTATATTGGTCTAAGATAAGATTCCCATGTATCTCTCACATCCAATTGGAGAGACCATCCAAAGAACAGCAAAGAGATACAAAAGGCACAATTTCATAATAACGAAGAAATGAGAAGGACACAGTGAGCACATGGGATATTTCTACAAATTTCTGGAAATCTGAAAATAGATGAAAGAGTCTAGGATGATGAAACAGCATGTAGGGAATCGAGCCTGGAACCCACATGGAGGTGGGAGCTTCAGCTGCAGAAGAAGCCGCCTAACTCAACGGAGCCCTGGAGGGGCTCCATACCTGTACACGGCACTCATGATGGCGGGAACAGTGAAACGGGGGCTCGTTCCCTCCCCACAGCCCTGTGTGCAAACAGCCCGCAGCTAAAGAACTCTCAGCTGTCCACACTCAGGTGCAAGTCTTTGCTAGAGAAATCAGTGAACTTTCTTGGAGGGGAGTTCATCACCCCGTTCCACATGCTGGCCCTAAAGGATGAGCATTACACTCTGGCCACCAACAGTCACCGTCGTCGAGCAGGGACCCTACCTCTATCCTGAGCAAGCCGTGCCATTGGCTAATTCTCAAACATGAACACGGTGCCAACCGACACCTGAGAAAAGCCTTCGTAAAAAAAAAGAGAAACAGACACACAGCTATTTATACATACCCCAAGGTGAAAAAGAAGAAGACGGACCCCAGAGTTAACAGATAATTCAAGGGACACAGAGAAGGTCTGTATTTTATTTTCAAGGACGGCTCCAGAGAGAACTAAGAAAACCTTGCATTCACTTGCAAGAACGGATACTCACGAAAAAGGAAAAATTAGAAAACCAGAAAGAGTTCTACAAAATTAATAAATGACTGCCAAAATGAAAACTTCAACAACCCATTCTTGCATTCATGGAATAAATCCCACTTGAGCATGGTGTATGACCCTTTTAAAGGATTACTAAATTCATTTTGCTAATAAAAAAAAAAAATGAAAACTTCCAACAGAAGAGCTAGGGGATCTAGCCTAAGAAGTCTTTCATGATACAGAATTATGGAGGACTAGAAAAAGAACTAAACCAAATCGAGCAGAATAAAGAGAATATTAAAAGAATATTCAGAAATCAATGAAACAGAAAACAAACAGTAGAGAAAATCAATGAAGTCAAAAGTTGGTTCTTTGAAAATAAAAATAAAACTGATAAACTCTAGCTAAACTGAGTAAGAGTAAAAACAGAAGGAAGAAATTGCCAATATCAGGATTGAGAAAGGAGTTATCAGTAAAGATTCTCTAAAAATTAGAATAATGAGAAAGTAACATCAATAACTTTATGTTAATACATTTAACAACTTAGATAAAATAGACAAACTGCTGAAAAGAACCAATCACCAAAACTGACCCAGGAAGAAATAGAAAATGAGAATACTTCCCTGTATCTAATAAAGATATTAAATTCATAATTTAAAAACTTTTCAGGCTCAGATGGTTTTACTGGAAAATTATATCAAACATTTAAGGAATAAATAATATCAATTAAAAACAAAACAAAACAAAACAAATAATCCTGTACAATCTCTCTCAGAAAGAAAGGAAGGGAAAGGAAATTGAAGATAGTATTGTTCTGATACCAAAACTTGGCAAAGATAATTATAAGAAAATAAAGTTACAGACCAATATCTCTTATTTAGCATAGATATAAAATCCTTAGCAAAATATTAGGAAATTGAATCTAACAATCTGTAATAAAATATAACCAAGTGGGATATATCTCAGTAATGCAAGGCTGGTTTTACAACAGAAAGTTAATTAATGTAATTCAACACATTAACAGAAAAAAACGAGAAAACTGACCTATCACAAACAGAAAATTTCTGACAAAATTCAATACTCATACATGGTGAAAGTACTCAGTAAGATAGAAGGAGAGTGAAATTTCCTTAATCTTTAAAAAGGCATCTAGGAAAAAAAAACCCAGCTAACAGTACACCAAACGATGAAAACCTAACTGCCTTTCCTTAAAATCAAAAACAAAGCAAGCATGTCAACTTTTACTACTTCTATTCAACATTCTGCTGGAGGTTACAGCCAGTGCAATCAGGCAAGAAAAGTGAATATAAAGCCTACAGGTTGTAAAGGAAGAAGAACATTTGTTTTTATTTGCAGATAACACGGTTGCATACACAATAAATTCTAAAGAATGTATTTTTAAAAAGAAGTTCCTATTACTAATAAGCAAATTTAGCCAAGTTGAAGGATATCTGATCATGAAAATATTAAGTCTTCTTTCTATATGTTAGTAATTAAAATTGGAAATTGATATAAATATACAATTTACAACAGAACCTAGAGACATAAAATACTTATGGGTGAATTTAACAAAACCTATGTAAATTCTGTACAACAAAATCTATAAAGTTAAAGAGGACCTAAATAAACAGAGAAATACGCGATGTTCATGGATCAGAAGACTCAATATCGTTCAAATGTAAGTCAATCACTTCCAAATTGATCTAATGAATCAATGCAATCCCCACAATACTTTTTTTTTTTTTTTTTTTTTTTTTTTTTTTTTTTTTTTTTTTTTTTTAGAAATCAGCTAATTGAGTTCTAAAATTCAGATGGAAATGCAGAAAACCTAGAATAGCAAAACACTTTTGAAAAATAACAATAAAGTTTGGGACCAATAATGTCTGATATGAAGACTTAAAACCACTTAAAACTTTAAAACATGAAGATTAGATATATAGACAAATGGAACAAAATAGTCCTGAAACTGAGCCATACATATGCGATTATTTGAATTTAGACAAAAATGCCAAAGTAATCAGTACATGGAAAAGGGTTTCTTCAACAAATGGTTAGAGTAGCACCTGGACGCCATTTAGGAAAAAAAAAAATTGAACCTCAATCTCTATCTCATACTATATACAAAAATTAACTTGAAATGCATCATAGATCTGGCTAAACATAAAAGCTAAAACCAGAAAATTCATACAGAAGAAAATCTTCAGGACCATGGCATAATGGAAGATTTTTCAGAAAAAAACATGGAAATAAAATGGCAAGTCACTGCCTGGGAGTAAATTCCTGCCTATGTTTGACAACAGACTCATGGACAGAATACAACTTGTATATTACAAGTTGTAAGAACTCTTATAACTCAGTAATGAGGACAACGCATTAAAAGAAATGGGCATAATAACTGAACAGACCATTCACAAAAGGAGATATATAAAATGCTAACAAGCATATGAAAAGATGCTCTAACATAATTAGTCACCAAGGAAATGCAAATTAAAGCCACAAGGAGCCATCACTACACAACTGTCACAATGGCTAAAACAAAACAAAACTAAAATATCGACAATCTCAAATACAGGCAAGGATGTGGACTTCTTGCAATTCACAACTCATGCTGGTCAAAGAGTAAAAGGTTAGAAACACTTCAGAAACAGTTTGACAGTTTCTTACACAGTTAAACAAAAACTTACCCTAAGACTCAGCAAACGCACCCTGAAGTATTTACCCACGGGAAACAAAGACAAAGGTACATGAAAAAAGCATGTGAGAATGTTCATTGCAGCTTCGTGCATAATAGTAAAAATACGGGAACAACCAAAACGTTCATCAGCAGATGAGTGGGTAAGAAAATTGTAGTATATTCAGATAGGGGAATACCACTCAGCAATATGAAAAGAAACCCACTACATACAATGATGTGGATGAATCTCAAAAGCGTTATGCTAAATAAAAAAGCCAGACGCCAGCAGTATTCTCAGGGTTGTTCCATTCATACAAATTTCCAGAACGGGCAACTGTAATTCATAGTGACAGAAAGCACGTCAGCGATGGTCTATGACGGGGAATAGAAGAGGCTCATTGCACAGAGGAAGGAGGAACTTTTTGGAGACGAGGAAATATTCTAAGTCGTTTTTGTAGTGGTAGTTACATAGGGGGATACATCTGTCAAGACCCATCAAACTCAACATTTAAGATGAGAGCGTTTTATTGTATGTGAATTATACCTGGGAAAACTGATTAAGAGGACTGCACAAACAGAATGATGCCGTGAGTCCTGAACTCTCAACTTTCTCTGCAATAACAACTGTATCAGATTGAGATATGCATAAACCAGGCTGTTCAGAGAATCAAAATAAGATACGGAGGAATTTGGAGTTTTCCCATCAACGGGAAGACACCGACACTTTGTATGTTTGTTTTCAGCTTTCATCACGGTAATGGGCTTCTTACCGTTTGAGCATATGCATTCTTTTGAGTTGTAAGGCAAGCATTTTGGGTCATATTGTAAGTTTGAATTATAAATAGCGCAATCCACTGCTGTTGTCCTTTCAGAGCAAAATCAATTACTCCCCTGCTTCGGTCAGAAGGTCTTAGGATTTTTAGCAGCGCCTTCTCATATGCATGGTGGAATATCACAGCTGAAAACGGCCGTGGCACTGAGCTGGATGGGCAGTGATCCTAAAGGATTCTGATCCGTTGTGCATGTCAGTTTCCTAACTCCCACAATTGTTTCGGTCACCGCTGTCGCCCCAGTGTGCAGCCCAGCGTGACACACAGTCCCCGAGAAGGGCTGAAAGGGTGGGCCAAGGAACCATCCTTCATCAAGAAGACTTTCCTGTAACGGGAAATGCCGTGGACGAATGCAAAGTCCCTGTGCAGGAAGAGTGACAGAGCCCACGGGTGGCAGAGGCTGCTCCGCTGAAAGATGTACAGGCACGTCTGCACGTGGTTCCACGTGGACCAAGGCCTGTCGAAAGAAGGAGAGACCTTACAGGGTTTCCCTCCCCCACACAGACTCTGAATGCAAATCAAGCTTTCGGAGCTCACAAGGCGTCTCTGCACTTATTGTTGTCATGACTGCATCCGGGATCCGAGCAGAGCAACCCCAGCAGCTTACGGTGTGGTGGTGGTGGTGTGAAAATCTCTTCTCTAAACCTCCAGGTGGGTTTTCAGTCCCACATCAAATGGCTTCTTTTCGTGATCTGCCTTCCCGACAATTCTTTCAGGTTCATGTGGATTTAAGCTCCAGATGGCCAGTGCCATCTGGAAACATTCTTGGACCTACTGTGAGTAATCAGGCAAAGCAAGGTCTATCAAATGTCAGCGCTGCTTAAGAAAAGCATCAACAATTACAACTGTAGCTTTAAAATTACATTGAACTTTATAGCAGCTTTATTCATAATTGCCCCAAATCGGAAGCAACTAAGATGTCCTTCAACAGACGACTGGATACACAAACCACGGTACATCTACACAACGGAGTACTATTCAGTGATGAGAACAAATGAGCTAGTAAGCCACAAAAACACACGCAGGGACTTCAAATGCATTTTACTAAGTAAGTGAAAGAATCTAACCTAAAAAAGCCTACATATGATTTCAACTATACGACATTCTGAAAAAGGGCACACTGTACAGACAGTAATAAGATCAGTGGTGGCCAGGGGATTGGGGGTGGGAGGGGCGGTGGGATGAAGAGGTGACAAGTAGGAGATTTTTGAGGATGGTGAAACCATTTCATATGATACTCTAATGGTAGATACATCGCAGTTGGCATTTGTTAAAACCCACCGAATGTACAACACAGAGTGAACCCTAGTGTGAACTCTGGACCTTAGTTAATAACGTATCAACATTGTTTCATCAATTGTAACAAATGTTACCACACTACTGCAGGATGTTAATAATAAGGGAAACTGTTTAGGGGAGTTGGGGTTATGTGGTAAATACAAATATTCTATATAATTTTTCTATAAAACTTAAACTGTTCTAAAAAATAAAGTGTATTAATGTAAAAAATACATTGTAAATCAAGATTGCAGAGTTTTTAACGTTACATCTTTAAACGGACATATTCTAACTGCAAGATAATTTTCCATTGAAGTATTTTTAGAAGAATATTATAACAATTTTCTTTCTTACATAACACTGTTGTGATGGCCCAGAAAATATTCAGAAAACACTTTTCCCCAATTGGAAACCTATGTCAAGTAACATCAAACATTCAATCCCAGGTCTAACTAACAGTGAAAGTATATCCAATTTCAAAAGAAATATTAAGAAATCAAGTATAAATAAAACATTTATTTTTTCCCTCATTTGCCATAGAACATCTCCTATTTTGTGGGCACAAAGTTTCAAAATTTCAAAATTCTACACTTAGGAAATGGACTATTCCTTGCAAGATTTTCCACTCTTCATTTGAAACTTCTTAACGTCCCTCTCCTACAGAGGACAGGTATCCAGGGCTTTGGGGTGAACATCTAGGGGGTTAAAATTCTAAACTGTAACCGGTTTTACTAATGACGTTGCTGTATATGATACGTTCCTACATTTTGAGAAAATTTCCAAAAGCGAAGGCCCACAATTAATCAAAATTGGTCCAACTATTAACAATACACTCACAACAATGGTTGGGGGGAAAACACAACTTCAGGTGACCTCCATGTAAACTCATGTCCTCCAGAGGGCTCTTAGGGCCTGGCCTATGTCATTTTACTCTGGTCCATTCAGTCTCTCGCTCCCCCATTCGACTCTACACTTGCTCCCTGGTCTTCAAGCCTCCAACACCTGTCTCTATGTACTGTCAGCACCAACCTTGCTATTTTGGGGAGAGAACAGAGGCTTTCAGAAGAGGACGTCTGTGAGTCCCCCCACCCCGAACCTGTTCCCACACCTGGCTGGACCCTTACCCTCTACCAACCGTTCCCTCTGCACTGAGGTCCAACCTGTCCACCTGTGTTTGATCCCAGCTGTCCCTCTCGCAGAGTCAAGGACACTCTCCAGCTGTTCCCACTTTTGGGGAAGCTGCTACAGTGTTAGTAGGGTGGTATCATCAAGGTGTGCCTTTCAATCTGCTCCAATGCATTTTTTAAATCCCTCATATATACACCACTTGTGAAATGTTCTTGGCCAAAGTGTTTAAACTGAATCTAATCAAGCCTGTAAACCAAACTTCTAACATAACATAGGGACAGGGAGACCAGTTTAAAAAAAAAAAAAGAAAAGAAAAAAGAAGACAGACACACCTTAAGGAAACAATGAGACAGATCAACACTCTGAAACGTCTACACGACACAGTTAACGTCTACAGGGACCCTGTGAAACGTCCACGCGGACACAATGAAACGTCTGTCTACATGAACACAGCAACTAAAAGTAGGTGCTGCAGCAGTCACTTCATGCAAGGAAATACGTGGTCACAGATTGGTACCTGAGAGGATGCTCAACATCACTCGTCACTTGAGAAATGCAAATGCTGCAGCACAACATGACCGCCAGAGTAGCCAAGCGAACAAAGACTGACACCAAAGTGTTGGTGAGGGCGTGGAGGGACCAGAACCCTCACACGCTGTTGGTGGGAAAAGGCAAAATGGCACCGCCACGTGAGAACAACGGGTGGTGGCTGTGATGTCGGAGAGTTCCCTAACATATGACGCGACAACCCTACTCTTAGGTATTTACCAAAGTAAAATGAAAACCTTTACTCACACAAAACAGCGGGAAAATGCTTGCAGCAGCTCTATGCAAAATCGAAGGACTGGAAGCAATCAAAATACCCCTCTTCTGAAACACGGACAGACACACTGTAGCGCATCCACACACTCATATACTGCTCTGCACAGCAAGGGGCTCTTCACAAACGCAGTAACACGGATGAGTCTCAAATGTTATTTTAAGTGAAAGAAAGAGACTCAAAGGCTATAAACTACACGATCCCGTTTCTATGCTCCTCTGGAAAAGGCAAACCGGTAGGCAAGGTGGTGGCTGCTAGGAGTCAGGGGGAGGGAGAGGTTTGAGGACAGAGAAAATCTGAGCTCTCTTTTCTCTTCTCCTCCTCGTTCACATTAGGAGATTGCCAATGTCATGACGCCTAAGAGAAACTGGTGGGTTCGAAGGAGCCCATCAGCCTTGATTATCCAAAACCACCATGCTGCTTCTCCAAGTCAATAAACCCCTGGAGGACTTGAGGCAGGAAGGCCAACATTTCCTTAGAAATGAGGCGTTTTCTTGTTGGCGGCTGAAAGCTTCTGGGTGGACAAGGGGCTAAAACAATCTCTCCTGGATTACATTTTTAATTTATAAACAGTTTAAAATGGCTAAACCAAAGCTCTCATTAAGAGGCATATTCACTAATTTTGGTTCCCCATGATAAATTTGTACGTTAAAACAGCTTTCTGCTGCTTAATTCAGAGGAACTAGACAAAACAAACACTGGTTGAAAAGAATGGATGTATAAAAAAATCAAATATCAACTATCATAAAAGAAATGACAATTTAAAATATAATCTTTCAGGGGCGCCTGGGTGGCTCAGTCGGTTAAGCATCGGACTTCGGCTCAGGTCATGATCTCACTGCTCGTGGGTTCGAGCCCCGCGTCGGGCTCTGTGCTGACAGCTCAGGGCCTGGAGCCTGCTTCCGATTCTGTGTCTCCCTCTCTCTGACCCTCCCCTGTTCATGCGCTGTCTCTCTCTCTCTCAAAAGTAAATAAACATTTAAAAAATATATGTAGTCTTTTAGTTATTTTGGGAGGAATGTAAGCATTTCGTTTTTACGTTGAAAGAAATTTACGTGTAGATTCAAGATGCTACCCAATGACATTCAGTTATCCCGCAGTAAGACAGATGGTCCCAAAATTCCCTGAAGAGGCCTATTTGATCTCATCAAGAGGGAAGCGCGAAGCTCCGCTTTCTCTCCAATTTTATTATCACCGATTATTTTGTGAAACTTTTTTGTCCTTTGCTTTTTAACTATACTTGATTAAATACACAATCACTATGGGAAAAGAATGAAAAAGATGCAGGAAAAGAAAAAGGGAATAAGTTATCCAAATCTTAACTTAAAAACTACTGTTGTTAAATTTGGATTGCATCCAGGCCTTTTCCTACAGAAATGCATACATGCAAATACGTACATTTACAAGTTTTTCACTTCTCGTTTATTATCGTGGCCATCTTTCCAATAATAAAGATTTGTACACAGTTTTATTTTTATAGTGGCAAGGGATACCATGAGAAGAAGGGGCCAACATTTAATCGTTGTCTATGCTGGATACGCAGCTCCCTTTCAGTCCTGAACTTTATGTTAGCGTAAGGAACTTGTGAATCTTTTCTCTTACAGTTACTTCTTCCTTTGGTGCCATTCATATAGTAAAGGTCTCCCCACCCAAAGGTTAGCTAAACATTCACCTATAATTCTTTCTAGTATTTTTATGGTTTTCATTTTTACGTTTATAACTTTACTGAAACTAGACAGTAATGTATTATTAGTATAAGTAGTGTATAATTTAAAGAGGGGCTCGACCTTTACCCATTCCCTCTAAATGGGTAGCCGGTTGTCCCAACACCATTCAATAACCAATGCATCATCTTCTACTGACAGGAAATACCTATCATAACATATACCAAATTTGTGTATGTCTGTACTTCTAACAGTTCCTGGACTTTGTTCTGTTCCATTTATGTATTTGTTTTTTTTTTTTTAATTTCTTTAAATGTTTATTTATTTTTGACAGCGAGAGCGACAGAGCATGAGCGGGGGAGGGGCAGAGAGAGAGAGAGAGAGAGAGAGGGAGACACAGAATCCGAAGCAGGCTCCAGGCGCCGAGCTGTCGGCACAGAGCCCGATGCGGGGCTCGAACTCACAGGCCGCGAGATCATGACCCGAGCCCAAGTCGGATGCTCTACCGACTGAGTGCCCCAGGCGCCCCTCCATTTATCTATCTGCTCTGGTGCCAGTACCACAATT